AAAAATTAGCAAGTTTCAACCATAAGCAACTGATGGATCGCTTGCCTCGTATTGTTAAGAGCCGGTTAAAGAATTCTTACCTAGCCAAATTTACTATCCTTTAGTGTCATAATAAGTGTTGCCTGGCTTCATTGAGATCCAGGTTGCTAAGTACAATAATCTGTGGCCTTGATTCTTGTGTCACTACTGGTTTTGCTGCTTGTCGAGAGAAATGCATGTTCAGAGATGTAAAACACTGTGATAAACAGCAACTACAACATCTGAAATCAAAGCGGATAATGGTCAAAAATTTTGATTCTGAAAAATATGTCAACTAAAATCACCTATCTGTAAGAAACAGATTTTCAACGAAAAAAAAAAAAAACTAGCGATGATTCATCTGATCAGAAACTTCATCTATGCATTAAAAAATTGTTGCTCAAAAATTAACCACTCCAATGATTTTATGAGATATTTTAGTGTATTTTCGGAGGAAAGATTAAAGAGAAAGGCTGTCTGAAAAACGTGTTGCAAAGAACATCGAAAACAATACAAACCCAGAAACAACGGCTAAGTATATCAAACCGCCAAGAACAAGAATAAATATAATTGGGCAGATGATATTGCGAAAAATCCACGTTAAACCTTCTTCAGCTTTAGTCGCCAAACCTCGTAATCCGCTATCAACTGTTTTTGGTACTTCAGAAAAGAAACTTTCAACCTGAAACTGACACATATGATTTAAAAAAAAAAAAAAGGAAATGAAAAAGGCAAAAAACTTTTTTTTTTGCACAATAATTGCTCAACAAAGTTTGTTGCTTTCTTCTTAATATTGTTCATTTTTTACAGATTTTTTTACAGAAACATTTTTTTTCTAACAACAAATACAATTTTTAAATTTATTAAATATTAAAAAAAATGATTAAAACTACAAAAAGAAAAAAAAAATCAGAAGAAAGAAAAGCAAACTTCGTCACCGGCGCCTTTCAACGTTGATTCTGCTGTATGAAGAAACTGTAACTTAAATTTTTGACTGTTGTCCTGTACTTTTGCAATAAGATCGCCAAAAACTGCTTTAGACTGATCTAATACAACTTTTACATCTCCTTTATTTGTCTCCCAACCTAAAAATCTTTTGATTTGTTCTTTTTTTGTTTTTTTTTTTTTAAAGCAGTTTTTAGTTACACTATTTTTAAGATAAATTTCAATAATTTATTGTTGTTAAAAGTGAAAAGGAAAACAAAAAAAAAATTTTTTTTTTTCTGTAGAAATTGTTCCAAATTTTTCATAAGATAAATTTGTTTTCTTTTTAGAAAAATTTTTTTAAAAATTGTTTTTTTTTCGAATTTAGATAATTTACATTTAATAAAGCTATATTAAAAGCAATTAAGACCTTGAACAAGAGACTGTTTTGCACGATCATAAATATTACTCACACCGTCCTTCAGATCGTCAAACCAACTGCAATTTGAATTTTCGATGTTCAGTAAACCGATTGTCATAAGCAGTAAAATTTTGTTACAGATCATCTAAAAAAAAAAATAAAATATTGTTTTTTGTTTTAAATTGATATCTGATAGTGATAAATTTTGATAGTGATATAAAAGTGATAAAATAGGTGATAAAGGTTAGCAAATAATAATTGGCTTCTATAAATTATTATAATAATTAAAATTTACTCCTTTTTTTTTGATGACAATATTATTAATTGGTTTGAATAAAAGTTTCAATTTTTTATCACTAATAATCATAAAGTTTTAAAAAATTGTATAATAGTATTATTTGGCTTTTTTTCTTTTTGTTAATAGAGTAACTATTAAAGAAGAAAAATAAACAGCAAAAAAAGGTAGCTATTTTGTTGTCGAAGGTGCAAAAAAAAAAAACTGCATAACTGATAGAAATAAAGCTTTAATTTGACCAAAAAAAAAATTCTATAGTAATAATTTAATGTTAAGCCAAAAATGTCTTTTGTCAAGATATATGTCATAAAAACTGAGCTCCCACCTAAGTGCTCAGTTCTATGTGATCACTATTGAAACAGAAGTTAAAAAAAAGAACAAGAACCGATACTCTTAATTTGGGTACTCTGAAGTTGTGTTTTCTATATTTTGTATCAATAAATAAACTTATTTTTACAAAACATCTTTTAGAGCATAAAATTGTTGCTATTTATTTTTCTTCTTTTTAAAAGAAACCACTTTAAATTTTTCTTCAAAAAAATTATTAATTTTTTTTTGCTGAGTAATAACATACGCTGTATTTTATAGCACTAAAAATAGTAGAAAAAATAAAGAAAGTGGAACTAAAAACGGGGTTAAAGTTGGGTTAAATTTGCTTCACAACTTTAGTGTTGTTTTATTGCCACTTAAAGGAAAAAAAAAAAACTAAGAAACAGTGATAAAGTAAATTGTTAATTGTTTGTTCAGTTTTAAAAGTCAACAATTTTTTGAAGTGACAAAGAAGCAAAATATACCCTTCATCAATGTATTTTATATCAGCAAACTTGGCTTCACATTTATTCAATTCAAAAATTGCAAAAAATAAAGCAGATAAAAAATTTTGCACTTTTTCTGTTTGTAGTTAAACTGTCAATTTTAGGCAGTCAATCTAAAAAAAACCCATTCAGTAGCATTGTTCTTAAGACAAGAAAAAAAAAACAATATTTTGTGGAATGAGAGAAAGAAAAATGGAAGAATAGAGGAACCTAAAGAAAGTTAACCAAATTTGTTGACTGTTATCTATTCAGCGCTGCATGCTACAAAAATTGTTTTTTTTTTTTTTTTTT